TGAGCTCTGAGGCGGTCCTCGGTGGTGGTACTGCCAGCCCCGTCCCCCAGGCCGCTGGAGATGGGGGTGTGGGCTTCTCTGGATGGGGATCAGGAGGGGGGGAGGATGGGGTGGAACCATGTGGCTGTGTCTCAGGAGAAGGTCCGGGAGGGTGGGGTTCCCCAGTCCTGCAGAGGTGGGAGGGCTGCCCCAGACTGATGCTCAGCCAGACGAGCATTTCAGGGCTGGGCAAACGAAGAGCCTGTGTGCTCTGGCAGGGAGTTCACGTGCCCGCCTGCCGGCTGGGGCCGACACATGTACAGGGAGCAGTCCGTATCCATATGCAGGCCAGTGGGGTGCGGCTGGGGAGCAGGCCCGCAGATGCCGCTAAGTGGAACCTGATGTGGCAACGGGAAGGCTGCAGAATGGCTCGCACAGCCTGCTCCGGGATGTTTTGGATTGAGTTTTGTGGCTGTGACGTGACGGCACCTCACATGGCAGGATAAAAATAGCTCTGGCCTCAATACAGGCGCAAGCTACAGTTCAACAGAACCAGATGTGAAAGCGTGCGCCGCCCAGCTCGGGCCCAGCCAGGTCCCCCTCCAGCCCCCCGCCTCCTCCCTGCTCTAGCAGCACCGGGATCTGCCGCCCCGAGAACCCGGGAGAAGGGCCAGAGTACCCAGAGCACCCGGAATCCAAGGGACCAGAGCAGATGCAGGCCCCAGGGCTGACTGGCAGGATGGGCTGCAGTGACGCCTTGTCCGAGGCTGGCTTCTGTCTGGGGCCATGGCGGGGACAAAGGGCATGATGCTGGCATGGAACTAGGGGGCGCAGGGCAGGGTGGGGGCAGCTTCCCCACGGAGCCCGGTGGCCGTGAGAGACAGAGGCCATGCAGGGGCTGGGAGGAGGCGCCCGTCCGTGCTGCGGCGACCGCACCCCTGGGCGCCACCTGAGTGGCACTTTCTTATCTGTTGTCAGCCCACGTGAGGTGGGAGAACAGGAGCCCGTCGCCCACCAGGAGCCTTCCAGCTGCTCACTCGAGCAGGAGAGAAGCTGATGGGCTGCAGCCGGCCCCGGAAGGATTCTAGCTGACTGCAGGGGGGTGGGGGCGGGAGGGCTGGGGCAGCAGGGCTGAAGGCTGGGGGCAGCGCAAGGAGGACGAGGAGGAAGAGCAGCCAGGGCCGCCTCCCACCGATCCACGGGACCGACGGCGCCTGGCTGCGGGGCACTGGCTCTGCATCTGGGGACAAGGGGGGTCTGGGCATTGCGGCCAGAGGATGTCCTCCTGCCAGGGGTGCTCAAGGAGCCCGGACTCACTGCTGGTGACCAAGTGAGCGGTTCTGGTGCCTTCAGGCAGGTCAGCGAATTCTGAAAAAGGGTACTTGACTGTTCCTGGGTCCCTGAGGCTGGGGATTTAGGCCCTGTGGCCCGAGAGGGCGCTTCTCAACTGACAGGAGCACACACCGACCTGGAGTCTGGGCCAGGCCAGCGCTGGTGGCCGTTACGGCGGTTTCTGGGCAAAAGGCCCCAGAAGTGGCTTTCCCAGCTTCTTCTAGAACATGTTTCTGTCTGGGGACATAAGAGGCTGCTGACCTGTGGCCACACTGGACTGGGTTACGAGACCCCAAACCGAATCAGAACACTTCATTGCTGTGCGTTGTCGGAGCTGGGGTGGCGATACCTCAGACCAGCGACCCCTGCAGGGGACACTGAGATAAGCAGTTTTTATCCCACCAAGGATGGGCTCCAGGCAGGAAGGGCGGGCAGGAAAGACAGGTGGGGGTAAACGTCAGGTCTGGGGCCACCTCCAGCCCCAGGCTGTACACTGTGGCTTGGCCAGGATCCTGATGGCTCGGGCAGCAGAGGTGTCCTGGCTCCAGCATGGTCTGATCCCAGAAACCAGCTCTGGCCTGCCCAGGTCTGCCCAGGCTCGTGGCTGCCCTTTCTTCCGAGTCTGGGGGGGCGCTCTGCAGGCTCCTCCAGTGGAGACAGGGCAGAAAGCGTACAAAAGGAATAGAGTCACAGGACACTGCGGGTGGAGGCGGGAAAACCAGCACCCCTCCTGTGGCTTCTCAGAACTGCCCAGCCAGGCGGCTCCCTGTGACTGCCCCGAGGTAGCTCTCCTCCGCAGCCTGGGGCTCTCCCTGGCAGGAACAGAGGTGGTGGAGGGGGCATGCCCTGGGCCGCCCACGCGGCTCTGCCCTGGAGGAGAGCGGTTTACGCTGGGGCTGTGGCAGAGAGAGGAAAATCCCACGAGGGCGACTCTGCCTCGCGGGGGCCCAGGGACCACTGCGGTGGCGCATTTAGGCCAGCGCAGCAGCCACCCAGGCGTGTGACGGGTCTCGCTTCCCCACTGCTGCATGTGATCTGCACCATTAGGCTTTACAGCCTCAGCGCGCAGGCGGGCCGCTTCCCTACAGATGCCGCTGACTTCGTCTTTGCTAGGCTCCCTGCCTCCTGTGCATTCCAGAAAGTCCCTTCATGCCTCTGGGGCGACCTGCCCTGAAGGGACCTAACCCTGCAGTCTGCAAGTTCTCAGAGATGTGCCCTGGAGAGCAGAATCCAAACAGGAAGAGGGTCTGGCCTCATCCTCACCGTCCATATGCACAGCCAGACCCAGACAGATAGAAGGACCCCCCCGCGCGCCTGGGAAGCAATCTCGGGACAGCAGCCGTGCAGGAATTAGTGTCCACTTCCTAAACCCTAGCCTCGCAGCCTCGGGGCCTGCGGTGCGCCCACCAAGGCAGGGGAGAGGACAGGGCAGGACAGGACGCACTGGGGCTGCCCGTGCTCTTCTGGCACTGGTTTGAGCTTGACCTTTTAAAATCACAGGACTGTCTGTCCAATCTGACGACAGCTGTGGATGTGCACGTGGATCTGCCCGGAGGTTCTCACACTCTGGGCACCCACACGTGGGTCTCAGGTTAAGATCGCGTGGCCACGGGGCTGTACATTCTCGAAGTAGGAAGCGTCTGTGGCCACGGGCGCTCCTGCGGTGTTCTTTCCAGGATGGAATTTCTGCCCATCTGGTGTACTCTGTGGTTTTTCTATGAATTTGGAGTGAGTCCCTGGCTGATGTGAACTAGTCTGACAGCCTTGGAGAGCGGGGGCAAGAGTCCAAGAGTCTGCCACCTCGGGGCTGGCCCTGTAGCACAGCAGTGAAGAGGAAGCTGGATTCCCACAAGGTCAGCCAGGGTTCAAGTCCTGGCCTCGGTGGATTGAAAAATACGCCAGGCACGTGTCTAGGACCATGCCAGAATGGAGAGCTGGCGAGAAAGGACTGCGGTGTGACCAGGCCCATGGGAAGGGGCTGACACTCTTTATGCTCTGAAGTGCACATGCACAATCTTACTGATTTCTTCTTCCACAAGAAGGCCCAGCGGCTCAGCCTATCTTGGCGGGGCCAGGTGCTGGGGTTCAGACATTTTGCCAGAGAAGTTCCCCACCAACCCCAACTCCAAGCGCCTAAAAGGTCTTGATGCCCGCACAGCCTTCCATGGCCTCCTGCACCAGGCCCTGTGGCCCTAGGGCACACCCCCACCTTGTCAGCACTGCTCAGCACCCTCAATAGCTTCCTGAGCCACCCCTCCCTCTGCTAGCAGAAACCCAGAGCAGTCATTGCCTTCTCTGTGCCGGGAGGATGGGAAAAACACCTCCAGGTGAAGGTGCGGAGGCCCTGGGGAACGAGGGTGCCTTGCCCTCACCCTGGGACTGTGCTGCCTCAGTTTTGTGCTTGCCCAGTCCAAGGAGAGACGATGCTATGGAACTGCTCCCTGGGGAGGTGAGCTGAAGGCTGGCCCCGACCCTTGCAGGACACCTTCTTGCAGTTACTCCCCTGTCCCCACACTCTAAGAAAGGATCTGTGTTCCTCTCCCTGGCCCACTGGGCTTCCTCCACCTCTCCGGGTTCCCACACTCAGTCTCTGGTATTCCAGGACCTCCATGCTGACTTGGGGACACAAGAGGGAGAGTGGGCCCCTACGCTGAGGGACAGAGGATGGGAGCCCCGCAGGGGTCTCGGGGTCAGGATGTGGGAGCCACTTTCCCGACCATGGCCAGTGGCTGCCAGGAAGAAACTGGACTCATGGCAAGGCAACATCTGGGAGACACAAGGGGGCTGGGCTGCTGGGCGAGGCCCTCGCTCCTTCCCGTGCCAAGTCAGAAACAGCTGCAGGTGGTCCCCTGACAGGCCTGCTCCGAGGGGTCCCCTGGTCTCAGGCCTGGGACCAGCATGGTGGGGGTGCTGCTGAAAGGCCACCAAACCCAGGTGACACTGGTCTTCTGCATCCAAGGCTGGGCTGACTTGACCTGGCATGCACTGGGTCATCGGGGAAGTCATGACACATTTTCACACAGAAAAATATGGCCTGGCTTTCCCAACGACCCGATAGATGCCCGAGGGCTCTAGACAGGCACCCCAGGCAGACATGCGAGCCCTTCCTGCCCACTTGTGTCCCTGGCACTTTCTGGGATGGCACGGATGAAGGGAGGCGGCATCTGTCTGGGAGGAGGGGAGTGGGAGGGTGCAGCCTGGTGTCTGGAAGGAAGCGAGGGTTGAACCATGGCCACCTTCACTCCCAAGGACGGCCCAGAACACCCGTCTTCTGCCCACTGTGTCGTGGGCTCTGAGAAAGAAATGGCTGCTTAGTCTTCTCCCACCTGTGAGACCCCAGACCAAGCCCTGGGTTCCTGCCGGGAAGGCACTGCCCGGGTGCTGACCAGCCGACTCGGAGGGCTTCCGCTTAGCCAGTGGCTCAGGAGCATCAAAAGTGCAGGAAGACGAGGGGAAGGGGCTGAGGGGCTCCATGGGGGCTGCTGGAGTGTGGGTCAGGGAAGGCAGGGAGGCGAGGTCTGTAGGCTCAGGGCCCTGCGGTGGCAGACCACTGGTAGGAAACTCACCGACCCCCACACCCTGGCAGAGTTCCAGGCTTGCGAGTGACACAGACAACCACCTGGGCCAGGCTGGGACTTGGCACTGACACCTCAAGGGCCCCTGAGGCCGGAACCATGAGGGTTACTCACCGGGAGTGTTGAGCAGGCCAGCTCTGCCAGGCGTGGGCACCTGAAGCTCTGCGTGGCTGGCTCGGAGGTCAGGGCCATCGAGCGGGTCGGGGTCGTCAGTCTGGCCTGCAGGGGAGGAAGCAATTTCTGCCAACACTTCCAGATCCTTCAGGATGACCTAGGGGAGACAGTGAGGCATGAGCGGCGAGGGCAGAGGAGCTAGAGCTACCTGCAGCATTGGCAGGAACCTGTGGACCCCAAGACCAGGGCAGTGAGAAGCCCTGGAAAAGTACGACAGAGGAAGTGGGGTGGAGAGAGACGGTAAGGGATGGGGCCACTGGGCAGGGCAGGTGGAGGAGCTGGAATCTGAGACCCGGGAGAGCTTGCCGTGACCACTCCTTTCTGGGCAGAGTGAGTGCAAGTGAGTGTGTCACAAGGTCCCCAGGCCCTGAGAATCGGCTCCCCCTCACACGGCATCCACCTCCCCTGCTCTTCAGCTGGCACAGAGGGCCAGCAGGGGCAGAGGCCAGCCCACCACTCAACTGCATGGGGTGGGGTGGGGGGAGGGGCCGGATGTGCTTGGGTGGGAGAAGCCTCACCGTGTGCACGTGAGAGTGAGTGTGAGTGCGTGTGTGTGTGTGTGTGTGTGTGTGTGTCCTGCTGTGTGGGCTGCCCAGGCTCCCCTGCCACCTTCAGTTCTCTGCACTCCTCTGGCAGAGAACTCATCCCACTGCGGCGGCTGCTGCTCTGTCTGCCCCGTACTCATCTCCTGCCTGAAAAGGGGTCGTGTCTGCTCCATCCACAGGTGTACCCCCAAGGCTGTCCCCAGCACCTAAACATCAGGTGAGTGGGTGGGTGACTGCCTCTCCGTGGGTCACACCGAGCCCAGGCCAAGAATGGTCACTACCACGGAGGCGCCAAGCCTGGACCAGTGGAGCTGGGCGGCAAGGCCACAGCAGCCCGGACAGTGAGAAGACAGATGGAACCCGGGAACTACACGGCCAAGATGAAGTGACTCGGTTCTTGCTTGGGATAATGAAAATGTCCTGCAGTGGCACTTGTGAAAGCTTGCAGCCGTACTAAAAACCAGTGTACTGCACATGTGAGAAGTGCAAACCTTATCTCAAAAAAGGAGGAAAAAAAAAAAGGAGGAAAAAAAAAAGGAGGAAAAAAAAAAGGCTACCCCTCCTTTGTTTTTTTTGAAGTTTTTTAATTGCCAGAATGAGAGAGAGAAAGAGGAAGAGACAGCATCAACCCAGTGGCGCATGGTCACACTGCAGTCCTTTCTCCGCCCCATCAGGATGGCGGGCACACACACCCGGTGTGTTTTATGCTGTCAGGGCTGGGATTTGAACCGTGGTAGGTCATGTGGGACCCAGTTCCCTTAACCACTGTGCTACAGGGCCTGGCCCCCTACCCGTCCTTAAAGCTTGGACGTGGCTCCCACCCACGCAGAGAAAGTGCCAGTGCCCAGTGGCCGCTGCTCCTCTTGGGTTCCTCTGCCAGCCCGAGCACACCCTGCTGAGGTCCCCTTTGCCTGCCGGTGCACTTGGGCCCCTCGGACTTCTCCAGATTCATGTGTCCGACACACGACCTCCCCACAGTGTACACTGGCTCATCCAGGTGGGACCCTGCTCCTTCTCACACAGGTGCCACCTCCTTTGTCCCTCCCCACTCGCAGGCACTGAGACGTTCCCTGGAACCACCTGGGCCCCTGCTCTGTGCCAGAGGCTTCGCTGGCGCTGGGGCTGTGGAGGTGAGTCCGGCGGGCAGACAGGGCAGTGAACCTGTCACCAGCACACACAGCCCTTGCCAGGAGCCACCACGCGCCTGCCCTCCGTGCCGATGTTGGAATCTCATTTCCGCTGCTCTCGAACATTCTTATCTACTGGCCTGTGGGAAACGGACCCGCGGTGGCTGGAACACGTGGCTGATAAGCAACCCCATCGGCAGGCAGGAGCAAGGGCTGTCCCTGCACCTTGGAGAAGAGCATGGGGTCCTGGGTGGTCCAGGCCCAGAAGCAGGGGACCTAGGCCTCTGCTCCGAGGAGGAGGAGCCTCTGAAGGCCCTTTGCCTCAGCTATGAGAGGACCAGAGGGAGGCGGTGAGGACGAGGACGCAGACAGAACGGCAGTGACGACAGCACAGCAAGGTGCGCAGAGGACGGCGCCCCGATGCCATGTGACTTCCAAGCACGTCACTTTCTGAAGGTCCAGGAGTTGGGTCGGGAGGTATTAGGAGGGACGACATCCGAAACCAGAGAGGCGAGGATTGGGCCGCCGGTTCCTTCGACAGCTGCCCACAGTCACGGTAGGTCCACTCCCACTCTAGGCGGTCACCAAGAGACCTGCGGATACGAGTCTGGGCAAGCCCCCCCCCGGAACGTTTACGG